GTACCCAGCTCGTACGCCCCGTGGAAGGCTGCCAGTAGTAGGCCTTCCCACTGTAGTCATCGATCACCTCCTCCCAGGCTTCAGGAAGCGTTGTGGCAACTGCCGCGCTTGCACCGCTCTCCGCCACTGCTGCGGCTGCTGGGGCCGAGCCCCTGTGGGTGCCGCCACTCTCGGCGACACCTCCGCTACGGCCGCCCTTCGCAACTCCAGTGTGGCCACCGGCTGGCACACCTCCAGCGTGGCCACCCTTGCCAGCCGGCACTCCGCTGCTCCAATCCCAGCCACTTGTCTGGGAATCCCAGCCGCTCCAGTCCCATCCGGAGTACTGCCATGCCATTCTGGCAAGTCCGCAGTGTAGCGCCAATCTTCTCGAGAAGCTACCTTCACCTACGAAAACCTACCCTTTTCCGGACGATGTTATTAGAAACCCTACTATGGAATTTATAGCGACCCTACAAAAACAAGTAGGTTCTGGTAGGGTTATATCAGGTAATTCCTGAACATTTAAGAGAGACGTAACTGGAACATGACATCAGTGCATGTGTCTGCTGAGAGCATTCGCAAGCACAGACATGCCTATTTCATCATGCTCATGCCCATGCAAGCACAACAGTGTCGGGCATGCTCAGACTCACTCTCTTTCTGGACTGAATGACCACTCAGGTTCGTGCCCTTGGATGCCGTCGTGCCGCTGCTGCGAGGCCAGCCCTGCCATGGGTGTTCACTGCTCTTTGAATCTGCAACGACTTTGTCAGCTCTCCACACCACACCTGGAATGGATAATAGGCCTGCGACACTTAATCCCTTCCCCCTGACATAAGTGCCTTGTAGTGTTGATGGATCAGATTTCACGCGCTGCCGACTACTCAAGACGTTGTCTNNCTTAAGTTTATAAGACACCCAGGGCTGGTTTTCGAGACACGACGTCATGATGAATATCTCCGTGCTCTACTCCTGCAACCGTTTACAGCTCAGGCTGAACGCTGTGCCAGCATGCCGAAGCAGAAACCACCTCTTGCTGCCATTTACTGCCGTGTTTCTTCGAAAGCAAACAAAGACAGTGCAAGCGTGGGTCGTCAACAGAAGGCCTGCCAAGATGTATGCTCCAAAATGCAGTGGAAAGTTGTCAAGAATGTGGCAGAGGTCGTCAGTGGATCACTGCCGAAGGATCAGCGGCAGACATTCTGCAGCCTGCTGCAAACCTGTGCCAAGCGTGGCATCAAGAACTTAGTGGTTGAGGGTGCTCGCACAATAGCTCGCACTGCAAAAACATGTGAAGACTTCTACGAGATGAGCAAAAACTCTGGCATCAAGATCACGGCGGCAGACATTCCCACATTATATGAAGATTCCGAAGGCAACGCCGCCAAGGCTTTCTTGCGTCATGTACTATTTGGCTATGTGCAATTAGAGCGTGATATGCTGGTCCATCGATTGCAGGATGGGCTCAAAAGGAAGCGTCATGAAGCTGAGGTCGCAGCTCGCAAGGGCGTTTCGAGCCTTGCCAGATCACAGAATGGACAGGTCAAGATCAATGGTCGGCGCTCTATCTTCGAGAACAAGAAATGGAGCAAACAGAAGATTCACAGCCAGCTCGGGAATATCTTCCGTCAGTATGCCAAAGGAAAGATCAGTCTGAGGCTTATGGCCACCAAGATATCTGCCAAGATGAAGCTCAAAAACAAGATTGCGCACGAGACTGCTCGCAGGATGTTCCAAGCTTGGGGCCGTTGAGCTGTGCCGAAGCTCCCCGGCCGAATGACCTGTCACAGGGTCACTCGTTTCAGTTGAACATCACCGTGAGTCGGTAGCCAATGTGGTGCATATCTTGCAGATGTCTTTTCTCCCTGTCGCTACGCTAATGCCGTCCCAGAGACGTTGCACGTCTTCAATTAGGAACAGACGCTGCTGCAGTGATCACAAAGCATACTAGACTCTGCTTCCTAATAGATATTAGATATCCCTAGAATGAGAATACCACAATGCAGCAAGCTCTGACAAGCTTCAGGCTGGCTAGGAAATCGCAGCCAGCACGGCGGACAAAACGGCAGCCATGAGTGGAATCGGAACGGAATTTCCCAGCATTTCGCCGAGCTTTGCCTTAGACACAATGTCGAGCGGAAGCTCGTCCTCAGTCAAACCAGTGAGCCAAAGCTTCTCGCGCAAGGTTGTGAATCTCTTGCGGGACACGATCCAGAATCCCTTGCCTTTCCCGCGAGAGGCGGTAATGCAGGGACAGCATCCCAACTTGAGGTTAGGCTTTCTAGTCTTGCTGACACTGATGTCGACAAAGATGTGCTGTCCATGCCCCAAACCACGCTTGGAAATCTCTGCCATGGCCTCTTGCAGCTTCTTTTCCTCGCCCTTGTTCGGTCTGTCACCCCCCCCGAGATGCTGTTCCAGGTAGTGATCCACGTTCGGCATCGGCACCTGCAATGAAACTGCTTCTATACTTTCCAGGCAAATATGAATTCTGTAATTAGACATCGGCACACACTCCTTTTATTTAAAACTGGCCTGTTCAGGCCACTGCACTGGTCGCATCTGCCGGGATTTGAGGACACCGGCTATGAAGATGCGATCTCTGTTCTGGGGAATTCCGTGTTGACTAGCATTCAGCTTCTGCCACGAAATGTCATACCTCCGATGACACTGTCATATTTGGATGCTGCGGTCAAGCAACACTTGCTCTAAACGCTAATGTCTTGCAGTGAGGTTGCAGGGGCTTACCACGAGCATCCACGAGGGATGTGAGCACTCGTAGGACCAGTTCGAAGAAGCTGGAGTGGCGCTGCTGGAGGAGGCCGGGCACATTTTCCAGCACGAAGGTATGGGGATGCTGATGTGCTAGATAGCGAAGGACGTAGTAGACGAGAGTTCCCCGCTTGTGTGCATCGCTTGTTCCCAAACCCGGCCCCGCCTTGGAATACGGTTGGCAAGGGAAGCCAGCTGTAAAGATGGTCACACTGGGAGCGAGAGCAAAATCAGGGGACCGGATATCACTGAAGCTCATGTGCGCCTGGTGGCTCTCGTGCAACACTGTCTGACACGACGGATTGCATTCCGCCCAGAAGCAGCAGCTGAACTGTTTGCCCAAACGCTTCATGGCGAAGAAATCTGAGCCCAGGCCACTGAAAGCAGAGCCCATTGTGAACGACCCTGCGCACGAACAACGGAAACTGCCGGGACGCTCTGAGCCCGCAATATCTCGATAGATCTCAGCCAGAAGTGCCTCCCATTCACCAGCACGGATGAAATCCTCCCCTCGAAGAGACTGAATCGGCAAATCCTGCAATCCAAACAAGTCTTCATCCCCATATTCATCCGGAGGGCCGATGTCCTCCTCCTCCTCGATCATAGCTGCAGCAGGAGCAGAAAAAGGTCGCATCTTTTTATGGAAATGCCGGTTGTCTTTGCTGGCTACCTCTCACTGCTCCCACGCTTGATCTTCCCACAAAGCAAGAGTGCGCGCACTCTCTCTCTCACTCACTCCCCCTGCATGCTCCCTTGTCAAGCGAGACGGTACTGAAGTACAGGCACTTCGGCGTTCATGCAACCGAACTTTGTCACATCAGAACATCCGCAGTCGGAGCTATTGTGGTCAAAGTCAAGAGCCGACGAGAGTCCAGAAGCAGGATCATATAAACCATATTATAACCATATCTCCTGAGCTCATCTTCTTGACATGGCATCTCGCGGCAAGCTAACAGCTAGCTACGGTATCGGACCAAGTCCTCGGCAGCGGAAGATACGCTCAAAATGAGGAGCCAGTCAGTTCGCAAAAGCCCAAGCTAGACGAAGCAGCTGCTCAAAGCACTACGATGGCACCAATCATGTCTCTAGAACCTCGAAACTCTGGAACTGATCTTCAATACAGGGGCTTCTGGCAGAACTCTTCTACTCCGAACCTTGTCCGGCATTGCCGGCAGTCTTGCCCTGTAGCCGGGATAACAGCAGCTGCCGAGCTTTCTCAGCCGCGGCGGTCGTAGCTTTGTTCACGCCTGGCCGCCCACCGGTGCGACCCCCACGGCCGCGGCCGCGTCCGCGACCCGGCTGGGGCAAGGGGTCCGTCTCGGTCTCCCCCTCACCACCGTCAGCCTTACGTTTCTTTCCCTTGCCCTCTTCGCCGTCAACAGGAACTGGCTCCTTATTCACAATCCGGGCCAACCCGATTTCAAACAGCTCTGTGCACTTCGGGTCTGTCATCTTCTTCCAAAGCTGCTGCAGGATCTGCTTCTTGAGCAACACTGCATGGTGTGGTGTGAAGACAACAAGAACCACCGGGATTTTCGCTGCCAAGCATTGGATTGCAAGAACATGGTCAACCTCAGGATACCGGAAGACCACCGATGGTTTGAAACAGTGCAGGAGCTCGTCCAGCAGGTGCGGATGGGACGGATGCCAGGTAACAGGTTCGATGTCTTTGAAGGTGTCGGGCTTTGGCACGGCATTTGGGCATGGGCCTCCCACAAACACTGCACCGTCAGTGCCATAAAGCTTTGACTTCTCAGACGGAGGCAGCTTCCACATGTCCGGGGAATCATACGACAGGGCGGTAACCTGGGAAATCACACTGCCCAAGCTGCTGCCAGGGTAGTGCTTGCGAGAGACTTTCCCCAACCTTCGCTTTCTTTTCATTCCACGTGAAGGATTTGTGTTTTTATCCGATTCACAACACAAGAAACTCGCGTCATCCAAGGGACTTCCATGTTGCCTCCGAAGAAGTGAACATGTACATCCGTTCATCTTGCTGCACAATGCCTCTTGTCACGGCCCGCCGTTCATTCAGGCTGTCCTCGCTGTAAACGATGTGGAACACACTCTTATCCTTCTTGAAGTGGCTTCCATCGGTCCAAATGAGGGAAGATGCAATGGCTGTCTCGTTTCCACTCTTACCTGCATCCAAGACAAGGATCACGTCCTTCGGGTTGATATCCTTGGGGTGGTCTTTGTCTTCCCGCAAGTAGACAAAGGTCTGGGCGCCGCGCTTCAGGTGGGAGTTTCTGAAGCTGGGTGGCCGACTGTTCGGATTCGACGAGGCTTCTCCGGCGATCTTGACGTCGTACAGGAATAGTGCTCGGCCATCTATCTTGGTCAGGATTGCATCCGAGAAAGAAGCCTTTGCCCAATCCATGGTCGCAACTTTCAGGTCGTCTGAAACGATGGTCACGAATTGATCCACCAAGTTGGCCGCGAACTCCTTCCACTGCTGCAAGGTCCCGTCGTCCTTCTGCAGCAGCTCTTTGTCCACCAGGTCCTCCAACGAGAAGTCCTCATCTGCCACGTGCGCTTCATCCCCTGGCAGCGGCTGGCCTGCCAACCTCTCGCCGCTGTGCCCCAGCACCGCTTTCTTGGCAAGATCCGTGATCTCTCCCATGGTTGCTTGCAGCAAGGGGCACTGACTCAAGAACTCCTTGGGGTCAACCGTCCCCTTCAGCGTCGTCTTGAGTACCCCATCTTGCTGAACACCAAAGACCACACCACTGATAAGGTCGGACAGCTTCCGGGCAGCATCGCTCAAAGCTCCTTGCCAGGATTTACTCTTCAGGGAGGACCGAAAAGTCTGGTGAGAGTCGTAGGCATCCAAGAGTGCCTTCACTTCGCCATCCGAAAGCTTCAGACCGGTCAGGAAGGGACCGGTCAGATGATCCAAGAGGTCAAGCTTCATGTTCCACAGATCGAGGAGCCCGCGCTGTCGCGGCGGCCCGGCCTATATCTAGCAGAAACAGCAAACCTCCAACAAAGCATTGGAAGGCTCAAGACCTTTTAAAAGGACGGGGCACAAGGGAACGGCTTCCAAGGTCTCGCCAAGAGAAAACCGCCGAATCCAGAAGATCTCTGAGTGTGCACATTGCCCAGCCGATGTACTTCTTGTTCTTCCCGATTCGAACGATCTCGCGCAGGCTCTGCACGGTCAGTGGGGTTGCTTGGGCATAGCGACCGTCGATATCCCTCACAACCTCTCGCAAATCCGAGTCACTCAACAGCCGGTCGTGTACCAGCAAAGCGTACTCGACAAACGTCGCGCTGACCTTTTCCACAAGCTTGGATTCAGGGTTTTTCACCATGCGTGTCCAAGCATTGAAAAGCTCCTCGGCGTTCAATTTGTTTCCAGTCCGCTTCTCCTCTGTGGTTTTGAACTGCACAAGCTCGTAGATTCTCTGGGAGGGAGTTCGGCCGAGGCTGTCATAGTCGTCCGCCAAGGCCAACCTGTGGTTCACGTTGTAGAGGAAC